CCGTTGTTGTATTTCTGAATGTCTTCACGAAAGTTCCTGGATCCTAAAAACAATTTTTAACCAAGGCCATGTTTATTCGAACAAAAGAGACGTACTTTCATCATTTCCACTCAAAAGAGCCTTATAAAATTGAGGTACCTGTTCTCCGACGTCCAGGGGGAAGTACCTCAAAGGTAAATCCACTTGCCCGTGGTTGCAGCAGTTTTGAAAAGTGGTAGTCAAAAGTTTAGAATCCTTGACTCTGCGCTCTGCTCTCCATCTAAATGCGCTACAGCCCGTACACTGGTTGCTTTGAGGGCCTAAGGCGAAGGGGATTTCAGCATGGAAGAGATGTCGAAGATTGGCTTCCGACCCAAATTCCTCGGCCCGTATTGCAAGGCCATGGTTTTGTCTTCGCGGCGCCAAACGTCGAGGCATAGGTGCCTTCAATTTAAGAATTCTAGGTGAATGTAACTAAGGCAATGAATAAATACCGAAAGATGTTAGCTCAGTGCGATGCGACGCGAATGCATACCAAGAGCAATTCACCAATAGTTAAAAAACTTGAGATAGAGCAGGCTCTACGAGAAAATTAACGTCTTTGCTCCAAGGTCCTGATTGGGTATCGTTATTGCAAAGTGGCTTGGCATCTCATTATCATCCGGTATGCAGCGTTTGTCAATGAGTGACGTATTCATCAATTTAACAATTGTATAACACTGCTAGGCGAAATCGGTGCACATGTTATTCAATACTATGTTTTTTTGTCGAACTCCAAGCGGCATTGTAGCTCTGCCGACATTCACAATGGTTTTTACCGTGACAAACATTGCAATATACAAGTGGAATCCAATTCAATACCATTCAGCTGCCTAAGTGGAAACAAAGTCAATCAGCAATGACAAAAGACTGATGATGAATTATATGGCAAGTAATTACCCAGGCACTGTGTGTTCGAACGTGATGGTCATCCCGAATTGGCCTCTCGCCGAGTTTCGATTGAAGTTCCAACTTTCCGATCTTCAAAATCCTAAATGATGCCAATTCTTTGTAGGCCACTGACCCCAAAAATTGCCGTATGGTGCCTATACCCAAAACCAGGCAGCCACGCTCTGGTTCTGGGCACCAGTTTACTTACCAAGGTGTCTTGGGGAGTGCACTGTTGTACTCAGGAAGGGTCGTGAAAATAATTAGCACCTTGTTCATGAAAATAAACAAAGCCTGGCTTGTCTTATTACGCTTCAAAATATAAGGTTTGGTTCAAACGCGTCCATACCTTTGGGACACAAATCTCTTTGATTTTGATCCTGAAATCAAGAGAGCTGTTACAAGAGACCTCGGACCTCTTATCCAAGCTTCATATCTTGGCCGTTGTGCTCAGGCAATGGCAAGTACGCTGGTAATCACTTTCCCCTGTGAAATGAATTTTGCTTTACTCGGCCGATTTTGGGTGTGGATGCCAACAATAGTTTCCGAGATGTTGAAAATGACCGCTACGGAAACTTACCAAGCCACATGGCAAGCCGCATTCAAGATACGATCTCACAGCATTGTATTTTCGCAAAGATTAACTGTCACAAACAACTTACGATGATGCCGCCACCAGGACCTTCACCAAAATTATTCTATAATAGTCGAGCTGTTTCATCAAGACTTGGTTCTATCCCTGTCAAGAAAACCGCACTAATCAATTTTTAATCTCTTTTAATCGTGAACATGGTGCTTATCAGCTATCCAATTACCAATATCATAAATAATCTACCCAATAATTCCTTTAATGATGTTTCACCAGAACAAGTATCACACATCATCTATACCATTCACAAAAATATTTGTGTTCTTATTCGTAATTCCTGTGCAACTGCAAAGGGCATGACTTACGAGTACATTATCGACTTCCAAAACCACAGCGCGCATTATCAAATTGCGAAGATCGAATCCGAGCAAGTGTCGGTTCCTGTCAACGAGGTTCAGCATGATGTTACGGGGTCTAACCTTGTCGCAACATGTGTCGAATCAGTTTTGGAAAGGTGTGTTACTTGGCCATATCCAATACATACCTCGCTGATTGCTGATTTTTTAATTCAGCATGTCAGGAACTGCACCTGTGTCTACTAGACGCTTCGGATATTATCCGTTGGAAAACATGTATTTCCTATCCGACATTGTCCGGAATGCCCCCTACCGACGCGCCGACGCCCCCGACGCGTCGGATCAAAAACTATAACTAAGTGACTACACAATACATTGGAATTAACTGTTAGTAAATATTACATATCCAACCATGCATAAACACACTGCATAACTCAAAAAGTTAGTTACACTCTTACCAAACTGTCAGTCAAATATGTCTTTATTCACCCTAATGTGACTGTAAATCACATATGGGTGACAACACTTTATACGTATGTAACATGCAGATCATCGCTCATATTATCATATGTCACTTAAATTGACGTATATGTATGTATGATACATTTATATATTTTTGGATTTCAATTCACCCATACGTGAATCATCATCACATACATGTGAATCATCATCCACAGCTGATCTTGATTTATACATCCAAAGACATTCACCCATATATGATCACGTACATTCACCCACATGTGAATTAAATTTACCTATATGGGAATCTACCTTTCAAATTTCCATTTTCCATCAACTTGGTCTACACACACATCACATACATAAGATTTTGGTTTGCATATTTGACCCAACCTATCCAAGGGATAGCAAACACATGTGAATCATGTGAATGTCATATATCATAAAAACTGAGATAAATGTCAGTCAAATACTGATTGAGTTGATGCCATTCACACATGGGTGAAAGAAATTCACATCAGGGTGAAAGAAATTCACATCAGGGTGAAAGAAATTCACATACGTGTGAATGAAATTCACATACATGTGAATGAAATTCACATATGTGTGAATCCCAGTCAAGTACTTGTCACCCACATGTGAATTCAATATGCATATATGTGAATGTACTTTCAACTTCCAAATATCCATGATCAAGCTGGTCTATAATAATCAAGCTGGTCATACATACATGAGATTTTCGTCAACATATTTGAGCCCGCATGCAAGGGACATCAAACACGTATGAGAATGCCATTCACACATATGGAATTCACATACGTGTGAATGGAATTCACATACGTGTGAATGAAACTCACATACGTGTGAATGAAATTCACATACGTGTGAATGAAACTCACATACGTGTGAATGAAACTCACATACGTGTGAATGAAATTCACATACGTGTGAATGAAACTCACATACGTGTGAATGAAATTCACATACGTGTGAATGAGATTCACATACGTGTGAATCTCATTCACACGTATGTGAATCTCAGTCAAGGACATTTTACCCACATGTGAATGTACTTCCAACTTCCAAATATCCATGATCAAGCTGGTCTATAATAATCAAGCTGGTCATAAATACATGAGATTTTGGTCAACATATTTGAGCCCGCATCCAAGGGACATCAAACATGTATGTGGATGCTATTCACCCATATGTGAATTTTATTCACATTAGGGTGAATGGAATTCACCCATGTGTGAATGAAATTCACACACGTTTGTGAATGTCATTCACGCGTGGGTAAATGAAATTCACCCAAGTGTGAGTGTAATTCTCAACCGTGTGTGAATTTCATTTACCCACGCGTGAATGGCATTCACATAAGGGTGAATGAAATTTACATACAGTTGAAAGAAATTCACATAAGGGTGAATGGAATTCACATATGGGTAGATGCAATTCACATGTTCACATACAGGTGAATGGAACTCACCTATAAGTGAATGACATCATGTCCATCTACCTTTTCGTGAATGATTTCACATGCATAAGGGGCACTTTGTGGTGTTTGTTGTCATAAGAACCAATTCTTCCATCGATGAAATCTTATAAAAGATTTCAAGAGCTTCTTTAAATCCATATAGGTGCGTATTTCTACGCACAGGAATCATGCACCAATTCAAATCTTCAACAATTCATAATCTCATCTAGCTCAATTACAAGAGTATATTAGTATATTCAATATGAAAGAGAATAGAACATATTTAATCATTCATCATTGGAGATTTCTGCTCTGGGACATTGAGGACCTGTGACTGAATTACATTCCTTGCGCCATTTTTTGTAAACCTGAATATTATCCACAAAGATTCCGTCCCATCCCTTTGCTTTAGATGATCTCAATTTCGTCCAGTCAGGATGTATATACGGAATTGGGAGGTTGGGAGACAAGTAGTCGAGTTCTAGTGAAATACAATGAGTTTTTTTGATAACTGCAAGTATGATGGGGTCAAGGTGGGTATCCGGATCTGGAGCTTCCAAAAATGGTGGAGTAGTAAGGCATGCGGTGACTGCTCCCGTGTATGATATGACCAGTTGGTTATATGTATTGGCTATAACACAACATCCGCCTGGCATCGGATACCACAACTCGTACGGCGCTTGCGTCTTGTCAGGGTGTTCGAGAATTGAGAGCATTTTCGTGATCGAGGTTTGAGATTGGCTGAGTTTCGGTAAGTTTTTCTTGTACCAATTGTAGTTTGCGTGGACATGGGCTGCCATCTCCGCTCGCACTTTCCACGCATCCCCCTCATCACGACCTAGTGATACTGCCACGGATCCAAAAGCACATAGACCGTCCCCCTTTACATTGGTGGCCTCCTTGACAAACGGATAGATAACCTTTGGAAGAGTCGCGAGAAAATCCCATTTCTGTTTGGCATTGTCAGTATCCGAAATGACTTCAATTAAACAACACAAGGATTGACTTACTATCAACACTTGATCTACTGGCGAGGCATTTAACAGTTTCTTTTCCTTGGCCTTTTGCTTTTTTTTTGGTGGCTTTTGGCTGTAGCGGTAATGTTTTCCAGTGAATACTGAAGCATTTGTAAGCTGGGTTATGAGTATTCAGTTAAATAAAAGACTTACGTCCTCTGATGGTTTTGGCCGCTTTGCGTTAGGCTGTTTCCATATCAAAAACACGTTAGTATATCATAATAACTGCTGGAGAAAGACAAAGACCTTACTTCGTCATGAGTCTGAGATGTCACACGTGTCGATTTACGTGTGCCACGAGTTAATTGATTGATCTTGTCAGTACGATTGACTTCAGAGACTTTATGAGCGCGTGTGGTTCTTGGTGACTGAGTCTCACTCTGTGAAGTGAGTGGAGAGTCACCTCGAGCAAAAGGCTGTTGATCGGTTTGATGGGCGATGACTTCACTCGTATCTCTGGTGGTGATGCTTGGTTCAGGTGCTGGATTTGCCTCCACTGGTTGTCCTTTATTGATATTCGAGGATGATCCTTGCACAGGTGATTCATCCGCCTCCGGAGAAGCTTTCGAGGACGATCCTTGCTCAGATTCATCCGCCTCCGGAGCTGCTTTTGAGGATAATCCTTGCATAGATTCATCCGCCTCTGGAGAAGCAGCCTTGGCATTTTGTACTTCTTCTTCCTACAAAAGAAACATGACAATAGTTAGATAAGTTATTAATTACCGATCGAAATAAAATTTATGACCAAAACTAAGCACTGAATGCGTCATCCTAACCTTAGCATTTCTTTTACGCTTTATTTGTGAAGTGGCATTGTCAGCTTGGGGTGCTGTGACTGCCCCTTTTGCTCGTCTTCCTTGTTCCTGTGATGAGATGACCAAAAATTATGGTAACTATCAGCTTTTCATTCACAAACGTTACAAAGTTATTGATTGATTAACCCACCTTTATATTTGCTTTAGATCCCGATCCCTTGGAAACTAATTCAACTACTTCACAATCCCGCACAAATCGTTCCAGAAGGGTTTTTCTAGTATCAGGGTCAAGCCTTCCCATGGCGGTAATCAGCTCCTTGTATTCATCCGGAGGGTTAGACTCAGTAAGATCGATATGTATAGTATCACTTCTTTGCTTTCTTTTCTTGGTGGGTTTGATCAAAGATGGATCGGGAAGTTTAGGTTGGTTAAGATTTGGAATTGGTCTGTGATTATGTTTGGCATGCTTGATAACAATAGTCCACATAGTTGTGGTTGATTGATATTCCACATGAACAGCAAATCGACAAGTCGGAATGATGAGTAATGGGTTTTCAGCGTGGGCGAGTTCTTGCTTTCGATTCGGGCCTAAAGTACACTTCCACTTAATGCGCCGTGGTTTGGTATCAAGGGTTGATATCGCGTAGTGATGGGTAAACGCAAAGTTCTTCAGGAAAATCTCGGCGTCGGCGCGAGTTGCATAAGTCCCTCCCCCAGGTGGGCAAGGAAGTTCGTCGGTATCAATCCCGCCGGGCGATGTGGTAGCAGCGTTGGTGGTGGTTTCAGTTTGCTTGTTTGATTCGGTAGGTTGATCATCTTGAGGTGGTTCAGTTTCAGCCATCTTGCATGGATCGATTGAATGTTTGAAGTGAGTGACTATTTGGTTGATGAGCAAAAGCTCGAAGCAGGTCTCCTCGAAATTTGATTCACCCCACCTTTCACCGGGACCTTTCACGCAAAACCACATCAATCACGCTAGGTGACTGTAACTTACCAGTTGGGTAGCTCTAACTTGTAAGTTCCTAATTCACACACCCGTGATACCTTTGTGTGATTGATTCACATATACAAGAAACACAGGGTGAATGAAGGGACTAATCACCCATAGGTGACCTGTGTTCACCCCTATGTGAATTCCTGTCACAGGAGGGTGACTCGGTTTCACTCATGGGTGACTAACAGTCACCCTTATGTGACAGGAGTTCACATAGGGGTGAACACAGATCAGTCAGTCTAGTCACATGAATAGATGTCACCCATATGTGAATGGAAATCACCGTGAGTCACCCATAGGGTGAATGTAAATCAAATGTAGGTGATTTACATTCACCCTTATCTCACAGTGATTGGAATATAAATGAACCATACGTAAATGGAAATAACTGTGACTGTCAGATTTACATGTATTACATTCACATATGGGTGAATGTAAAGCACATGTAGGTGACTCACGGTGATTTCCATTCACATATGGTGGATTGGTATTCACAGGGGGGTGATTTTCATTGACATATGAGTTAATATAAATTCACATATGGGTGAATGTAAATCACATGTAGGTGATTCATGGTGATTTCCAATCACATACAGGAGATTGGAATTCACCCATATGTGAATATAAATTCACATATGGGTGAATGTAAATCACCCATAGGTGATTCATGGTGATTTCCATTCACCCATATGTGAATATAAATTCACATATGGGTGAATATAAATTCACATATGCGTGAATATGAATTCACATACGCATGAATATCAATTCACATATGTGTGAATGGAAATCACATGTAGGTGATTCATGGTGATTACTATTCACATACGGGAGATTGGAATTCACATGTGGGTGATTTTCATTCACATATGGGTGAATGTAAATCACATGTAGGTGATTCATGGTGATTTCCATTCACATAAGGGGGATTGGAATTCACATGTGGGTGAATGTGAATCACCCACATGTGAATGGAAATCACATACGGGTGACTCTCACCCAAATACACAACTCATTCATCTGATGAATTCTGAGTTTCAACATTTCAAAATAGACTTTCATTGGCTGTAGGAGTATACTCTGTTTCTAAACATCTGAGTTTCAATATAAAAAGAAGTAAAATTTCAGAAGTTCTTTCAAAAACATGATATCAAACCCAAACCATTATGATATCTTATTCTTTTGGTTTTTCTTAGCCAGTCTCAATAACTTCTTCTTTTCACGTTCTTCCCTTTTCTTAGCTAGCTCCTCCTGTCTTAATTCTTCTTTTTCAAAAGCCTTATCGTACTTAGTATCAAATTCTTCCTTGTAAGTTTTCACTCTTTCTTTACAATAATTGTTCCATTCTAAATCACTCATACCTTTCTTTTTTTCACCTAGGAGTTTGATTCGCTGGACCAAAGTTTCGGAGATTTGACATGATGAGCCATATAAAGTGACTGCACTCGACTTGTGTGGCACAACTTTGCCTTCAGCATCATACGCTATTGAGGAGGTAGTATAATGTGGTATCTGAAAGAAAAAAAATTAGATCTTTCATTTCTTCCAATGATCATAAGAAATACTCTCACCGTTGTATCCCATAACAGATCATACATACCATTACAAGCACCCATGACCACTTCTATACCAAAATCATCTACACAAAATCTTGACCCCACGACTTCTCCCAACTTTTTTCTCTTTCCCCCGACTTCCACCCCCTCCTCCATATCATATGGCTGGCCACTTGCTCGAAGAATCATTCCCCACATCCCAAAGGCGTATCTGGTATGATCTTTATCAGTATGAGAATGATTACAAAAGCCATCACAAGTCACAACAAGGTTGGAGCCAAATACTAATCCATTTTGGGTGTCTTCCCATGCCAATGAATCAAAACCTGGTATGTTTGCTTGAAGACCAAGTGCAACATTGGTTTTGAAGACCGAAAGTGATAAAGATGAAAATTGTTCTGCCCAAAAATCCCTAATCTGATGGAATTCAGCCATCCGTTCCTTGTCACTAAGAATTCGTCCAATATTTGCAGATGTAAATGCACTTATACAATATGGGCCTAAATAATGTATAAAAAATTTAATAAGTCAGCTTCCTGACATGATCAAGAAGTTAAGATGAAAACTGGTACCTGCACTTTTACCTTTCTCACAACCCCCTCTCCAACCACAACATCCCATCCATCCACATATAATGTTTTCATCCTCATGTTTGTCTTCTTCTTTCTCACAATGTTGAAGAGAACAGTGTATCTTACATTGATTTCTAGCTCGTGCATGTTGAAATGTAGTAGATACGGAATGATTATACTTCTCTCTAAGAGAGCTATCCATATCTTTAAATGGTGTACAACGAACAACCATCACGATAGACATATCCTTTTTATTAATCACAACCACGGTTCCAGTCTCTATCTTCAGGGTTTTCCGTTCCGGTTGTTCAGGTTGGTCTTTTAGACTATAACGAAATACAAACTTAGTATCCATTTGCAATCCAAGGTCCTGAATAAGTTTCCTTTTCAATTCGGTTCGCTTGGCATGAGTACGAGTGTAAGAGTTGCCAAGAGCCTTCTCCTTCCGATATTTGTTCTTGCATTTATAGTAGCTTGCGCAAGTTTTGGACTTGAAACTCGATACCTTCACCCCCGCATTTTGTTTCCTTTGATTGCTTCTTGAACGAGTCATCTTCAACAAATTTGAAGTAGGATGATAAGATCTAAGCTGTGAAAGTAGATGACTTGGTTCGATTTCAACTTTTAAGAGGTAGTAAGTACCAAAAATTTAGGAGATAGATACATCTATCATTAGCTATTAATCGATCGATATTAGATAGGTTGTGTGATTCATTAGAACTGACCCTTTTATCAAAATGACGTACCCAAGGATCAAATGTCAAATCCTTCGATTTCACTGCTTAAGAGCTAGTAGAGAGAAATACAATATACATCGATCATTAGCTTTTAATCAATCAAGAGTAGAAAGATTGTGTGATTCATTAGAACTGACCCTTTTATCAAAATCACAACGATCAAAAGTCAAATCGTTTGATTTCACTGGTTAAGAGCTAGTAGAGAGAAATACAATTTTAGCTATATATCGATAGATATTTGAAAGCTTAAATATGTAAAGTTCCAAGCGTCCTTCGCAATCACACCGTAAGAGCTATGATTTAGTAAGATGATTGATCAATAAAATGTTAGCAATCCTTTGATCGTTTTGTTGTTGAATTGAAGTTTGAAATCTTACCCTAAGAAAAAATTGTAAAAGTCCAAAGCTGCCTTGGATGTCAAAGTGACAGAATAGTACTTTGTACTGTTCTGTCGATGGATTTGTTAGCAATCCTTCGATCGATTTGGTACATTGATGCGTGCAACCTTACACCAAGTTGTTAAATAAGATCTTAATGAGAATGAACTGTTGATAATTTGGCGGTTGGTGATATTTGAAGAATCGATTGTCAAGTGTTTGATGAGTCCAACTCTACGCCAACCCTGAACAGTAGGCCGAATTCCCCCGGTTCGTAGTACGGAGTCCGACAACGAGGGGAAAACAGCTGCTAACTGGGGGTGCAACAATAGAAGCGATGTGAGGTAGATTGATGCAAAAAATTCGGGTTGGCCTGCTGTTCAGCTTTTGGAATTTGTTGGTGAGTGCTGGTTTCTTGGGTTCATTCGCTTGGAAGATGAAAGTCCAAATCTTTGCCCACTTTGGTAAAATTTCAAAATGCTGGGTTGTTACCCTAACCTCATACCCTAACTTCAACGTTCTGTAACCCTAACAGTTACCTCAGAGCCACTTAACCTCTTGAATTTCATCTTGACTTCAACTAATCCAATATATCCAATCACTCACCTAACATGGATGTCAAATCAGACACATACACTCCCATCCATACCATAGTAAAGTACCAACATGTCTTTTACATTCTCCTTGTCCAAGAGATTAAGATTTCCCCCAATTCAATTTTCTGCGATTGTATTGTTATTTCATTACTAACCAATCAAGCATGCCAAATGAATCAAAGTGCCAACCTACTTTGGATCTTTGCCTTTCAATATCCAATACACAGACAACAGGGTGTTATCAAATATCAGTACGTCCAATGACACAACTAAAATGTGTAATCAGTCCCTTTTTGCCTGGTGCACACAATCCAAAATGTATGTTTCCACCACACCTTTTGAATTTTGTGGACCAGGCAAAAGGGACCGTATATTCAGTCTCAGGCAGAATCAACATGGTATGATGCAGGGGAAATTGTGTATTCAGCACTTTTGGACACACTTACACGCATAGCTGTTTGGAAAAGTGTGTTTCCCCCACAACTTTTCCAATTGGCGCATCACATAAAAAGTAAGTGTATTTTTGAAATCAGAGAGCTTCATTTACCCTATGACAAACCACTCACATAATCCGGAACAGGTTGTGAAGGGGAAATTGTGTATTCATCACTTTTGGACACACTTACACGCATAGCTGATTGGAAAAGTATGTTTCCTCCACAACTTTTCCAATTGGCGCATCACATAAAAAGTAAGTGTATTTTTGAAATCAGAGAGCTTCATTTACACTATGACAAACCACTCACATAATCCGGAATAGGTTGTGAAGGGGAAATTGTGTATTCATCACTTTTGGACACACTTACACGCATAGCTGATTGGAAAAGTATGTTTCCTCCACAACTTTTCCAATTGGCGCATCACATAAAAAGTAAGTGTATTTTTGAAATCAGAGAGCTTCATTTACACTATGACAAACCACTCACATAATCCGGAACAGGTTGTGAAGGGGAAATTGTGTATTCAGCACTTTTGGACACACTTACACGCATAGCTGTTTGGAAAAGTATGTTTCCTCCACAAATTTTCCAATTGGCACATCACGTAAAAAGTCAGTGTATTTTTGAAATCAGTAACCTTCATTTAGAGTAAGTGTATTTTTGTAATCAGGAACCTTCATTTACCCTTTGAAGGTTACTGTTTCACACAATCCGGGACAGGATGTCTTTGGGCAAAGGCCTAATCAACATATTTTGATGTATACCCTTTTCCAAATTTCAGACAATTTCGCGTATGGCAAAGCGTGGCTGCACTGCCGTCTTTCCCTCCCCTCCTAAGTGTATTTTTGAAATCAGAGAGCTTC